TCATTTTCTTGTCGGCTTAGTCCCTTTATTAATCCAGGGCCGCCACAGTGGAATGAACCGCCAACTTATCGAGCAAGTTTTAACGCAGCGGATGCCCTTCCAGCCGCAACCCATCTCTGGGAAAATCCAAAATATTGATAAATAATTTTATGATAGATGTTTTAACATTAGGTTATGTATAATTGGCATCTTGATAGTTTTTAAATAGTTTGATAACAAGCAGGAAATGTTCATGGGCTAGTGACATCAGCACATTGAAATGGTCTAATTGCAAGCTATTCAGTTTCCTTTTCTCGCACTCTGTTTTGGCACGCTGCTTTATGATTGGTTCAAATACCATACTGCGAGAAAATCATGCTGTAAGACGATCATGAATTGAAAATCGAACATGTCCAAATCGTGATTTCGATACGATTTCAATTTATCGCACAGCCCTATTGTTTATGATTATTTCATCTAAAACAACTTGATTTGTGTTCCAAAGATAAATGAAGACCTCAGTGGACTTGAATGAAAGAAGGATAAGTAATTTTTAACAGATTTGTATATTTTGGGCTTCAATTAACACTTTACTTTGTTGTTTTAGTGACGTTTAAGTGAAGAAAGATTGTAGTTACTTCTAAACAAGCCAAATCCACAATATATAAAGTAGGGAAATTGAGGACAAAGATGTCAGTTAAAGAAAATGTCAGAGTGCAACAGCAGGAAATGAGACTAGGAAATGAATGGGTTCAGTATTGGCGACTGCTTAGCAGACTCCGATAAAAAGTGTGTCTAACTCCAGCACTAATCACTGGAGATGTCCAACAATGTCAAAAATAAAACTGCTACACTGGATCCTCTTATAATCACCTGATAAAAGCAGACCTTGCCAAAACAAACAGTGATTAATTAGCTTGTGGGGTGTGGATTAACTTGCATTATAAATAACTGGGCACGAGAGCTTCAGGCCTAAAGACAGACAGGGGTCTCCCTGTCATAAAGGGGTCCTGAACAGGAGGCCTGTGCACATTGTGCTCATTTCCTCATGGCTATCTCTCACTGGGGGCTGTATTTTTATAACCGCCCGCTCAAGTTCACCCAAGACATTTGATTTAAGAGTCCAATACAAACAATTTTGGGAAAAGAGTAGAGGTGTTGAAAATAAAGTGGATTTCAAGGGTTAGCCAATGACTAAACTAACAGAGGGTGGGATCACATGGCTTCAGGTGGTTTCCTACACATGCTGGGACGCCCTAATAAAGTAAAATGAGGAAAAAGTGATTGCTCAAATGACCACTTTCTAACTATGCTAAGTGGGCTTTAAAGAAACAGTGCCTAGTTAGTTCAACAACCAATTATTGACCTTTTTTTTAACCTTACCATCCTCAGAGAACAAAGGCTATAATAGTTTTGGATTTTTCATTACTTTTAGTTTTATTTCGTTTTGACTTTTTGTTTTCAAATTAAAGTTAGTATTAATTTGTTTTTAGAGGTAGATTTGCTAGTTTTAATATTTTGAAATTGCTTAGTTTTAATTTAGTTTTATTAGTTTCAGTGTTAGTTTTAGTTTTC